TTTATATCCACGGGGCAAACACAAGAACTTTATTTTGCTTTTACTTATATTTTTCCAAAACAAAAAAAAACATTATTTTTTAGTACACCTCTCTACGTTGAACTTCTTTTTTTTTTTTTTCTTTATCTCTCGTCTCTCTGCGCACAATACTAATTCATAAATATTTTCTGCTGCTTCAAAAAAGTTTTTGCGTACATAATTTGTGTTTGTTGTTTTTGTTTCTGTGCTTGTGCTCTTCTTTAATAGTTTTTTTTTGTTTTGTTGTTGTTTCTTTGCTTTGCTGTATATCACTAGCACCATCATCATCATCACTGTTGCTGTTGCTGCTGCTGCTCCTGCTGCTGCTGCTGTTGCTGTTGCTGTTGCTGCTTTAATGTTCAAGTTTTATTTTACTTTGCTTTTTGCTGTTGTTTTTGTTTTTGTTGTAAAACTATCAATGTTGACCGGCAAATCGTATGCCGTGGGAAACAATTCGGTTTTACTTCAACATTTTTTTGTATTATTATTATTTTTTATTTATTTTGTTACTTGTGCCTTTTGTTTTTTCTTTTTTTTTATTTTAATTTTATGTATTTTATTTTATTTTGTAAATGTATTGAGTTTTTAAGTGCTGTGTGTGTGTTAGCTGTTTGAGCTTTGCGGCTTTTGTATACGCTTGTTTGTAAAATATTTTTATGTGTGTTTGTTGTTATTGCATTACTGCTTCTGCCAGTTATGTTTGCTGTGTGTGCTGCAATAGTTTGCTTGATCGGCCAAGTGCTTTGGCCAGTGTGTTTGAGCCTAGTTGTGAAATTGTGTTATAAAAAATAAAAGATTATAATACAAATAATGAAAGAAGAAGTAAAAGAAAAATTCTTAAAAATGTTAGTATTCCTTATTCTTGCTAATACTGATATTTTTGTATATGAAAAATTAATGATTCATGTTTTTTGTACATAATTTTTTTTTCTATTCAACAGATTGTCTTTGATTAACCTTAACGTTTTGAACATGATTAACTAAAGCGCAAAAGTTTGTAGTTTTAAATGTTCTTTAATGTTCTTTAAATGTAATTCTTACATATTATTCCCGCTGCACATCCCTTTATGTTTTAAAATAATTTCTCGGGTAATACTTTCCATATTCGTGGATCTACAATGATCCAAGTCGATTTAATAAGGTGCCTACTATCAGCCATTATTCAAAAATACTTTTGTTTATATTTGGCGCCGGTTAATTTTTTCTTTTGTATAAAACATAACGATGATATAGAGTGAATCGTTAAAATCATTTAAATCAATTACAAATATAATATATGTATATAATAAATTTCTTTACATTATGTACTGTACAGCGCTTAGTGGTTTTACAAATAATAATAATAACATATAAACATTACTTTATATTCTCTGCTACCTGTCAGCTAGCCCACCTGCTTTGAAATTATATTTTACACATGTATATAATATGTGAAATTCTCCTATTTTTTTATTTTTTTCATTCTCAACATACTCCACTTTTTAAATAATTAAGTAATTAAACACCCTTGCAGCATTCCTACCTGTCACTATTTCTGTTAACACAATGGGCTGTCGCTGCCTTATAAACTTATTATGAACCATTTTCACAGCCCTATTATTCTGCTTCTTCTTCTTTTTGTAGTTTATTACACTCGCAATGGCAGTGGTTCCCTCTGCTATACTTGACTTGAAACTGTCATACCTTGTATGTCGTGTAAACAATTATACTGTCATTTACAAAAAAGAAAAAAAGAAAAAACAACAACAATTACAGCAAAAATGTTTAAATTGTTGAAAATGTTAATTGTTCGGACAGTTATAAATCAGAGCAAAGTGTCTATGTTAGTGCTTTTCGCCGGTCGTGTGAGATTTAATGAGCTTACTGAGTTTTTTGTTATTCAATAAAAAAAAAAACAAAAAAAATTAGTGCACACACGTTGGTCTGTTTATAAACAAAAAATATCTCAAAGTATCTCATAAGTGTTATAATTACCAAAGCGTGTTTTTAGTATTTTTTAATTCATAATTTGAACTTGTGGATTCTGCACTTTCAGAACTGAGAAAATAGACTCTTCAAGTGATACCTTGAATATCACTATTTTATAAATTTTTTCAACAGTTTTGTTGATGTTTTATTAAAATTTATCATATCTTGATCTCAAATTTCTAACTAACTTTGGGTTTCACATTTTTTTGGCTTCAAAGATTTGTATCTTTACAAACGATCATCGGAGTTGATTGGTAAACAAATTTCTATGCATTTTATTTACTTTTTATGTAAATAATTGTTGTTAAATTATTACTTGCCGACGAAAACATTATAAATTTTCTCATATCTTAATTATATTCATATATTTTGCAAAAATAATTTGCTGGGGTTAAACCCCAGATATTTTGGTGAATTTCATCAAATTTAAAAATAAATGTTTAATATAATTTTCAGAATTGCAATAAATCAATTATGATGATATATATGACTTATGATTTGACGAAATGAACGATTGCTTTCGGTAACATCAATTTTTATTGACGTTCTCACACGTGGCTGGACGTACTAAATGGTTATCAAAATGTCTGCTTTCTACATAGCAATGTTATTCTCTAGAAATATCTTTATTCTTTTACGTACGAAATATTTATCATAGAAATGATTGGTATTTGCTGGTAAATTCCCTAATCCTCTGCTGTCGTGGTATCATAATTTTCCTTATGAAAGGCTGTCAATGATATACACCGTGCAGATGAAATCTTTTATGCTTTTAAAATGATTTTGTTTAAGAGTTTTAAACATATTTTTATTTAACGTACTATAACTTATAATTGTTTATTATGACCTGACATCTTGTGAAAATGGGTTATAAATAATTAAATCATTAAACACTTGATCCCTTCTGACGATTATATGAAAACATAAATTTATAATAAATATAGCTACAAACTTTTAATAAATATCAGTAGTTGACGTAATTTTGCAATCCTTGGTAGTTTTACGAGGTCTAAATACTATGTTGTCTAAATCATAGCCATTAAAAAAACTTGAAAATAGCATTTTTCATAATTCCAAGTAATTTACTTAATTAATTGTTTCCACTATTATTTACACAATTTTATTAAATTAGTGTATATTTAGTGTAATATTATGTAAATAATAATTTGCGACAATTTTTTTTAATCGAATTGACTTTAACACTAATTTATTTCAATTTGAAGTTCAATTAACTCAATTTAATAATTATACATGAAGTGTTCAAAAATATATCACTTATTTTATACCAATTAATATTAATATTGATAAACTTGGAACTTATTTTGACCCAAGTAGTTGAAAATTAAACTCTTATTGTCTGTCACTACAATCTGGCCTTATTGCTAAATTTATAAATAATTAGTATGTTTCTTATTATTGTTAAATTGATGTAAGCTTAGCTCAAATTGGCTATTGTCTTCGTTTGCATTTCGTTGCAGTTTTTATTTGAACATAATTTTTTTTAATGTCTTTTCACAAAGTCTAAAGTGCTTACTAAAAGCACTTGTTGAATTCACTAGCACTATTCTTAATAAATATAAATTACATATTTTTCACGTGTTTAAAATTTGTTAATTGTTCTTTAACGATTATAAATATTTCAATGTCGCCTTTTGGCTTCCTTCTAGCAATTTAAAACGCTTTGTTGTTGCTCCACATACAATGATTTTTTTCATCTTGGCAACAAATTATCTGGACCAAGTAGTTTAATTTATGTATGAGCTGCCATAAAGTAAAACAAACTCTTCATTTAACTTAACAAGCGTGAATTTTGTTAAGGTTTATCAATTGAAGCTTTTTCGTACCGCTTTTTTTACTTATTATTATTATTGTTGTATCTTTTTGATACGTTTTGTATATTTTATATTGTATCAGTTATATATAATGCAGGACAACATATTTTTTTTTTTGTTTAGTAGTTTTATATCTTGCCTGTGCATTTGTCATACCTTTTTGTTTGATGTGTCTTACTCTTGTTGTTTTTGTTTTGCATTTTTCTTAAACTTAATCATCGTCATTCATCCTTTTGGTCGCATTTGTTTGGAGTATCTTTTGGTCTACGGTTCTGCATTTGTGCCATACTTTCAACTTGTCGTTATCGTTGTCGTTGTCGTTCTCATTCTCGTCTTCAGCACAGAGTCAGATCGACCACAAACACAGTCAAATACCAGACACCCTGCGAAACGGTTTACTCTACTCTACTCTACTCGTATAATCTTCAAGTCTTCAAGTTTTCAATACTGTAGATGCCGTATGTTTTCCATAGTGCAGGGAAGCATAAAGGCAAATTTTTAATTTTTGCTTTCTGAATTTTGTTGCTATTTTGCTTCTTTTCGCTTTTTGAAGACTCCTTTTTTGTCTTTCACGAATTCCAAATCCCATGGATTTTTGCTGTTGCAGTTTTGGTTAAATGCTTTGCTGAAAGATTTATTGTCATGTTGCAGTAGCTGGAATTTATTAAAATAAAAGGAACTTACAGCTTTGTACTGACTTTAAAGGTTCAGATTGTTTCTTATTTTCGCTGATTTGCTACTTTTTTTGCATCAAAATTGCTGGCGCAGAAAAAACGCGTCAACTTTAATGAATTATTTTTTAATTTGATTGGTTTGCTTCGGTGCATTTTATATTTATTATAATTTTTATTAGGATTTAAAGATGGCTTTGCCAATATTTTTATACATAATACTACTACATAATTCATTTAATAACAAGCTGATGATAATATCTACACATATAAAATTTGATGTGATTTTGTTGTTAAAAATAAATAATAAAATATTAACTACATATGTTAACAATATTATTATTACCAATAACTACTGAGAGCGGTACACCATATATTTGATGTAAGAATATATATAATTGTTTTATTAATCGTAAAAGATACCAATTGATCATGTAGTTACTCCGAATCTTCATATATTTTATATATATTTTTTATATGAGTGTTCTAACTATTTTGTTTTTTTTTTTAGGTTCACAGTTCGGGTCTCTTCGAATTACGACTAAAATATTTCAATAATGAACATGGTCGTGACAGTGAAGGTCATTGCTGTAGCGGTCAATCGGATAGCAGTACGGGTAAATGTATTGGCACTTGTAAGACGCGATTTCGAGTCTGCCTGAAGCATTATCAAGCCAAAATAGATACAACATCCCCATGCACATACGGTGATGTTGTGACCCCTATTTTGGGTGAAAACTCTGTGAATCTCACAAATGCGCAAAGTATACAAAACAAGGACTTCACGAATCCAATACAGTTTGCTTTCAATTTTGCTTGGCCGGTAAGTTTTATACTATTTTTCTATATATATTAAATACATTAATCAATTTTAATCACTTACTTAATTTTTATATATATTTTATATAAAATCACAATACTTATTAAGACTTATTATGAATGAAGGAAGCTAAGAACTCGCTCCAATACTAGACTATTTTCATATATATTTTAATATAAAATCCATTCGACCTAATTATTTTGTTTACTTCTCTACATTATTACATTAGAAAACATATGTTTTTTAATTTTAATTTAAATACAAATCGAATGTAAACTAATTTTAAACATTAACTTAACGTGCTGTTCCGTACCTCAGTCTGTCCTCTATAAAACATAATGCAATTGTCAATAAAAATAAACAAGAAATCACTTTTCAAATAAAATCGAAAGAGAGCAAAAGATAAAATTTTTGTTGCTGTGCTGTTTCCAATGTATCTACATGATTTCAAAATGTATCTGAGTGCTCTTAGACAGACTTTTATGTTTGTTTTGAAAATTATAAATAACTTGTAACTTTAGTTATATTTAGCAGCTTCCCTATACATATGTTTGTATCTCAACTAAGAAACAATCTTAAATGCAATCTTAAAAAAATATTATCCTAAATTTAACTCTATAATTTTTTGGAATTAAGTAGAATTTATTAAGTAATAAAGTAATAGTAAGGCGAGATAATATTCTATGCATTTAGTTAAATGTACTATATTTTCTTTCTTGTTTTTCTCTTATAGTAATTTCTTTAAAAATTTATCTTATTTTTTCCATCGCAGTTGCTGTATATTATATATATAAATAACTTCTTCACTTCACTGGCTGTGTCCTTGCAACTTAAAAAAGCATACGTTACACATTCCACACTCAAACAGTTGAAATTGTGAACATGTGATATTTTTCTTACAGTTGTTCGAGGGGTGGGTTTAAATAAAGTCGATTTAGTTCGAAAGTTCGTTTTTCCATTTATCCATGAGGCCAAACATCTGTCAGCTATTAAAATGCGCTAAAAACGCATAACGCGTGCGCCTTGTCTCTGGTTTTGCGCTGTATTTCATAGTACTCGCTCTCCCCTTTTTTGAAAAGTCTGCCTGACTTGTGTAAATATTGGTGTACACTGATAATGTATAAATTTCATCCCTAGAATTTGTCGTTATCGGTACCAACATTATCGTTAAATGTCGTTACTTTTTGCTTTTCATTTTCATGAAAGCACACACTCTTGAAAACTTGTTTAGATTTTGCTTTGAATACTCTTAAACTAACAATTCTCGGATGGTTTGAATATGATTTCTTGGAGATAACGTTTTTGCACATTGCACAGTCGCAACTTTCGCAGTATCAATGAATTTTGCATTCGTTTTTCAGGGTGCTTTAAGTTGTTAATAAAATAGTATTTCTCTTATAAAACAAATATTAAAATTATTTGATTTTTTAATAAAAAATATGAATTTATTTTCAAAACGTTTGTAAATTTAGAAATTGATATTTAAGACTCTCTATATTATATATATTTTTTCAGTGCATCATAGAATGCTATAATACACATAGCATACATGATCCATCATCTCCAAAACTTTGCACTGGAGAAAGTTCATTGGTATTAGACGGTTAGTCATTTTGCTGAAGTATAGAATATTTTAATATAGATACAGAAAAATATAATAGCAATAGCTGTACTTATTGATAAAGACTAGAATTAGACGATACTAAAATTTACTTCGCAACTTGTAAAGACCTAAATTCTAATCAGTTAAAATATAGGTACATTTAAAAATGAGTACATAAATCAATGAGAACACTCATACAATTTGAAAACTCTATTTAACCGATGTTACTAACTAACCATACTAAGATTATTTTTATAAATTTCCCTCTAAAAAATTCTCCATTCTCCATTTTTACCATTCTGCCAAGCCGTGCGCAACACCCTTTTCGCGCACGCATCCGCTGTTTTTCCTTCATTTCAGATGTCACCTTAAAGATATTTTTTTGTTGCTGCGCCTTGGCACTGCACTGCATTTCTGCCTCGCCCCTTTTTCTCAATAAATTGAGTAAACCGAGCGCACGTGTTTTAAGTAATTTTTTAATAAATCTTTGAAATTATTGTATTTATTCCTGCAGTAGCAACAACTGCGAAGGCATGTTGCCTATGCCTGTCGTCTCGAAATGTTCTGCTTCAGTACGATCGCTTACAGTGATCGTACAGTCAACTGTCTATTTTTTATTTTGTATAATAAAATTTTCGACAAGGTAAATAAGTAAGAGAAGTGTTTGCATGCATGCATTACTTAATGATTATTTTATTATTTTACCACTATTACTACCAATATTTCTCTGATATTACTCTGAGCAGTTGTTGCTACCATTTTTTATTTGCCATCAAACGCGGTCAAGCCTAACATAAATACATAGTCATGATACATACAGACCTTATATTATTTTTCTGTATTCTTTTTTTTATAATTTTTTTGAACAATTTCTTTCATACTTGCCTTGTTTTCTTATAATGTGTAACGTATTTCTTATTGTTGGTCCGTTGCACAGAAAATAATGGCAATCATTTTCAAATATTGTTCTTCCTTTAATTAAACTTCTTTTTACCAGCGCACTGAACTTTAACATTTTCATGAAAGTCGAGCTGGCAGCGATGCGAGTAGCAACGACTAGGCTGCATTCTTAATCGTTTGAGGGTTGCAGTTTATAGTTCAACTTGTGCTATAGTCACTGCCATTAATATTTTTTCCAATTACTGCACGCATGTGCACATAGTCAGCACCATTACCGCCATCGCCATAGCCATCACCATAGCCATCACCATAGCCATCACCATCATCTGAACTGCACTGCCAGCACTGACAGTTCCAGCATTAAGCATGCTTCAGCAGCAGTTTGCGTAATTCTGTCATAATTTCCCCCGGAACGGTGCAATTTAGCTATTTGTATCTGTAACTGTTGAAACACTAAATTATCACAATGGCACGTGAAGTGTTCTCTTCAATTGAAATTACTTTAGGGGTGACAACAATAGAAGTCTTGTAAAGAGTCTATAACAAAAAGAATTTAAATTATAAGCATGCTTTCTTTCCGCAGAAGATTTGTTAGTTCTATTAATTTACATCGAATTCTACTGGTAACTATTATGAACTTTATAATTAAGTAAACTGTTTATCTTTAGAATTTCTGTAAGATTCATTTAAAACACCTAATATAAATCAAACAATATACCCTATTCACCAGAATAGTAATATGCGGCCTTATTTTCAACATTAATAATACCTTTAAATAATATAAGTTTACTACCATTGTTTATAATATAACTAATTTTTAAAATTATTCAGTCTTTAAACCGACTTAAATAGTCTTGAAGAGGTTTTTGACTGCCACTCATTTCCAAAGACATATAAGTAAATATATTGTATATATAATTACAAAATTATTTTATTTCTAAAACGATTACTTAAAACCAGAAGTAGTTGCGTTTAACTTCTGGGAAGATGTTTACATTTTCCGCTTATTTAAAGCAATAATCAGAAAGAACTATTTTTAGAAAGGATCTCTAACTCCTACTATATAATTTATTTCATATGATTTATAGTTTATCTATTAAATAAAAAAGATAAGAATAACGAGTCCCAAAATTGGGATTCACTTAAATGCTTGGATCATAGATAACTTGTTAAATGAATTTATTTAATTAATAAACGAAATATTAAATATTTATATATATGTATTGCAAATATTTTCTTTATAAGTCTTTCCTCTTCACTTTTAAAGCATTTTCAAGTTCAATAGAACTAAAAATTCTAGGTCAACATCTACGCCTGCACAGTTTTTACTTTTTAATTGGATTTTGTGCCAGGAAGCTGACAGTTTTATATTAGCAACGATTTTTCTTTAAAGTCGAAAGACACACTCAAGAACCACTCTTTCTAATTAAAAAGCTAAAAATCACACTATATATATTTGTAGTTGCGATTGGTATAAATATCCATATAGCGCTATTGTCTCTCTGGGTTTGTGTTTCTGTGTATGTCAATGCTGGAGCACTGGAGTACTTTGTTGTCTATAAGTACAATAATATATATATAACTTGGTACAAAAATAAACGTCAGCCAGCGCAACACTGTTGTATCACCGACACTTAACTTTAAAGTGGTACAATGAAAAGTATCTATACTGTTGTTGTTGTTGTTGTCGTTGTTGTTGTTACTTGAAATTGAACTTTAGTCTGCACCAGAAATTTGTTTTGTTGCTGTTGCTATAGCTATTCCTAACCACGTCAGTTGTAATGTGCCACTCCAGTTGCTGCTGCTTCTACTGCTGCTTCTGCTGCTGAGGATGATACTGATGCTGATGCATCTTTGTGTTTTGTTTTTGGTGGATTGTTTCCGTTGATATTTCGCTTTTGATATAAAGTTTTTAAACACGCGATCAACATATTTATTTTAGGATGTATCTTTTTGTCCCATAATTTTTTTGTTTTTGTTTTAATTTGTTAGTTGTTTTATTTTTCAAAAATTTCTCGCTATTTTAAGCAATGAATCTCTTTTACTTTTTAAAGAAAATATTTTCAACGAAAATTATTAATTATTTTTGTTCCTCATTTAAGTCGCTTTATATTTAGCTAGTTTTTCGTATAATGTTCATTTTATATCGCGAGAGGTCGCGCCTGTGTCTTAAGTACATTTCAATAAATTTGGTTGAAAAGCTCTTAATATATGAATTCACTGTGACTACTATTATACCTGACTGCTCCTTTCCACCAATGCTACCAATTCCTGTTTTTGCAATTATACCATTGCTATATTTGCACGTTTGTCGTCTGGTTTATTTCCTGTCGTGCCCAACAATTTTGATTTTTGCAATTTTCCCGGTACTCAATTGCATTGAAAACTGATTTTTCTAGTCTTCTTCTCTTCTATATATTTTAATATAAATTTTTTTCTAACCAAAAATGCACATTTTTGCATAATCGTTGCGCCTGCGCTGTATGTGCATTCATTCACTGCATGCTGCAATGCAGCAATACTTGTATTCTTAAAAGCATTTTTTACAAATTATTTCGAGCATTTCAATGCCTTTGCGCTTGAATGCATCCTGCAGTTTTTTTCGTTTTCAATTTATTTTAATTTGTTTTATATTTATTATCCGTGCCTCTAAAAGTCCATTCACAACTAAATGCCTCAATTGCAATAAAGCATTAAATTATTAACTACAACATATATTTCTTTAAATAATTAAGCAATCATCATATCGAATTAATAAATAGCCCAAATTTGTTACAAAATATTTATTTAATCTATTCAAAAACATAACTTAAAATATTGAAAACAATCACACCTACGTAAAAGCGAAAGCTCTGACTCTTTAAACTTATCCAAGGTATCCAACTTATCAACTTTCAACTGCTAATAAAAGTAGTAAACTAGTAACTCACTCCTCTGCTTATTAGCATTTCTAAACACCCTTCACACAAAAATTGTGAAAATGCTGAAAATGTGATTATTTTGTTGTACTGCTTGTAACACAATGTGGGAGAAATCTTCAGATGTATTCTTCATTAGTTTAACATCGGTTAACGAAACGATCTGTATTTCGGATGACTATATCCCATAATTACCATATAAACTTAACAATCAGAACTGGTTTCTCTGCATTATCCTTCAAAGTATTTGGTTTAATTTTCAAATTAGGTCCAAATACCAGATCTATATCCATTAGTTGAAATTTTGATATAAATACCACATAAGTTCTTGATTCTGATATGTATTCTTGTAAGAAAAACTTGCTCATTTATTTTTATAATCTCATCCAATTTATTTGTTAAGCTAAAACCAATTATATATCGATCGTATACGATTTTCACGTAAACATGTTATCTAATTTAATGTTTCTGACCTTTGTGTGAATGGTGTTCAAACTATATCACAGCCAAAGTCAGCTTTCTTTCTTCCTTTTTTGTTGTTGTTTTTTTTTTGTTTGAGCATCTCTCACTGTTCGTTGCTGCTGTTTTTAAACGAAATGTCGTTGCAACTTAACTTCCAACTGCAAATGCTTTTATTAATATTTCTTAACAAACACCTAACAATAAAATAAAATAAATTTTTTTATGGATCTATAAACAAAGTATAATTTCACAAATCTTGATTATTGTCGAAATCAAGTATGAAATTGGGCCGCTGCCTTTAAAACGCATGCGCGCATTTTTAATCTTGACTTGTACGCTCTGCTTTTTTCTCACAAACTTTAAGCGTTTTCATTTACATTTATCTTTAGTAGTTTTAGATGCTGTTGTATTATTCCATATATACTATTACCATTACGTATAGTTTTTGAATGAAATACATTAGTTTTCACACCAATTCACATTTGTATATGCAACTAAGTGCAGTGGGCGTAGATGGTTTCGTTTATGGTTTAGTTAAAAACTTAAATAAAAGTTTTTGTTGATCTTTCTCTAAGGCGTAGTTTTAGTGTTTTCACATGTTTATTTGTTAACAAAGTTAACAAACATATATCGGCTACTTCCGGAGTTTTGTATAAGACTTGAGACCATTTAATTTTAATTTTATCACTGCATACAAATTGCTTAATTGCTTAATAAGAGTTAATCGCTTTGTAGTTAGTATCTTTCGTTTTTGTTTAAAAATTTTAAGATCGAATAATACTACTTCATAAAAAATACTGCTTGGGATCCTATAAATTTATAATGGTATTAAAAGGACACTCTTAAATCACAAGAAATTATTTTAACTGAACAAGCTTTCTATAAAGTTTCAATAAAACTATATGTATTGTACAGCACTTATTGTATATTCTTAGGTCGTGTGCGAGTTAGGCTAAGTTGATGCTAAACCAAATGGGAAATTTTTTGGGATTTTTTGCACTGCACACATTTAGCCATTTATCAACACGTATCGACACATCACTACATTATCAGCACAACTTAGAATTTCCCTCATTTAGAACGCAACTTAGCCTAACTCGCACACGACCTTAATAAAAAAACATATATTTTAATGTAAATTATTTAATTAAAATACTTATTTGTTCTTATATTTGTATGTAAAATATAAAACCTCTTCTCTTTTCCAGGGCACGTTTACATTGATCGTTGAAGCATGGCACGATACAAACAACAGCGCCAACGCACGTACCAATAGTAAGTTACTTTCTATTCATTTTTCAAAATATGTGACATTTATTTAAGTAACCACATAATTACTTCCTTAAAGTAATTATTTTATAATGTTCAGGTTTAATACAGTTTATGTATATCCTGTTTATTGTTACCAAAATTTGACATTAAAATGATCTTGGGTTGTGTAAATTGTTAGACATGATCACTTGTCCTGTTAAATAAGTAAAAAATGCTGTTATTTGATACTTTTTACTCATACATCAATTGATATATGTACTTGCTATCCTACCCTAACATATACGATATATCTAAATATTTTTTTTCAGAATTTTCTAAAAATTAAATGTTGACATAATACCTACTTTTTGCCCCTGCTCAACGTATTTAGTTATTTACTTTTTACTCCTTTTTTGCAAAGATTTCCGGCACATTGAGTGGTTTTAAATAACAAACCAAAACTTCGCCAGGCTTATCCCTTGAAGTGAAGCGAATTCCAGATATTTGCTGCCAAAGAATTCACTTTTGCATATACTTTAGTACTTATGTGATGAGCAATGAATAAAACGGAAGTGTTTGTTCATTATTGTTTTCTTTTTTACCCATATAATATAACATATATCTTATAATAGTTGAATTAATATATTCAACTTAAAAAACTCTGACCTACACATATACATATATAGTATTTGCGATTTTAACAAATTGTAACTAAAAGTAAAATAGGTAGCAGTCTTACAAAAACGAGTACCCCAAAGATTTCTAATTATAATAATATTAATTAATTGTAAAATTCCACGTTCTCTGATTTACTGAGAGTATTATTTCTGGTGGCTTATGCGCTGATTGGATTTCGTGAATTTACAGAAGGCATATTGCAAATGTGAAATATTGTATATTTGTATAGGATATTTTGCTTTTTCTTTTTTAAATTTTAAAAATATTTTAAATACCATTTAATCAAGACACTCATGTTTATGGTTGCCGCTGTAAGATGGCAATATAACATAACCACAACAGCAGCCCCAAAAATGCCAGCAACTTCCATTGCAAAAGAGCAGAACACCAACCATAAAGTTGATCCAATGAGTTAAAATTAAAAGATAAGCATTTAACAACCACATCAACAAAAACAGCTACAACAACAACAACAGCAACACAAATAAAAATATGTATATAATGTAGATACTTATAACAGCAATAAGGATTTAAACAACAGCAACTAACAACTTTGGCATTGGTTAAGATTAATTGGTAGGTAGGTTTAGGTGAAAAAGTTAAGGTGCGCATAATAATACATATATGAAGTAAAGTTAAACGGGCTTATGAGGATGAGTTAAAAGATTTTTTATATCTCCAAAAAAAAAAAAAAAAAAACAGAATACAAAAAAAAATAATAACAATTCGTGTTGTGGCTTTGTTGATGTTGCAGTGTTGCAGTGTTGCAGACAACTAACTCGTTCCCGGCAAGGTAAAAAGGAAAATCAACTTACAAGGCAAGTCCTAAAGGCATTGAAGAAATTGGCTAAAAGGTCGAACACACTAAAATCAAAAATCAGCAGCAACGAACACTTGAACTGGCCCGGGCCGGTACTGCGCGGTGCGCAGTGCGAAGTGCATGTATTCCTATTTGAACATTTGTTGGAATTTTCAATGTTTGTAAGTAATTTATGTTAAATGGAAAATTCAAAAACTTGTTGCCTGACAGACAGACATTTTTTGTTGGCAGAAGCATTGGACAAGCGTAAACTTGCTACGCAGGTTGACACTAAACACACTCTGAGTGCAAAATATGCGGGAGATGCATTGCAAGAATCACAATATGCACCGCAAAAATATTAATAAAACAAAAATACTAACGATTTAAGTAATAAAATTAATAAATTAATCCTTGACAAAGTTGAGCGTGGCAACAATGATAAAAAAACGAGAACAATTTTAATATTGCTGTATTACAATTTCAGATAAAATCTGAAGAAAAAAATTATACACCGTAAAGAGACTGTGGCGGTTGTATGCTGTTGTATCGTAACACCACATCGTCAATAAAATTGGTTATGGACAAGATTAAAATTATAGGATATTAAAGTATTACTTGAATCACATAATCACGACAGGATATTACCCTGTGGTTGGAATCGAAACTTAGTTACAATACTCAGCAGGATACGAATAAATAATGCAATACTTAAGCTTAAGGCAGCAGCACGTCAAGAAATTTTAATCATAATTAAAATTATATTAATACGTAGGTATATATAGTTCAGAACAGCTAGCTTTCTATGAATAAACGTATGTATGAATACTGTGTATTCAGACCAGTAATATTCTTAAATATCAAAATATTATTAAACCTTAATAAAATTTCATAATATAAACTATTAAGGCCTTAATAATATGAATTGTTAAGGTCTACCTTTACATTAAATCTAATAGTATTAATATGTAATTATCAAAATAATTAGAAAAATGCATTCGTGATATCAGAATTGGACATTATTTAAGCTCAAATAACCTAACCTAACCTAGAATGTAGAGGTATAGTATTCCATAAGAGAAAGAGGAATAAAATATTGTGATATCTGAAATTAAATTTCGTTTTCTGAAATAACAGATATTAGTTGCAAAAACCCCAAAAATATTCGAACTCCAAAACGACATTAGCACTACAGTTCTGTAATCTTATTAATTTGAAATACTTCGTTTATTCAGTTCTACTTGGAAGCTCGAAAAGATCAATCACCCAATACATACAGGTATTAAGTTTCTCAATAACGCAATAGTCTCTAGTGAAATTTCACTGGCTCTTACTCTGTTAACATATTTAATTTCTACAATATAATGTCTTCAAATAATTTAACATTATAAAATACTAAAACCATTTTTCGAATTCAAATACGAATTTGAATACAAATTATGAATCAAAACTAAAAATATTTGTCACACACCATATAATTATTAAGACGACTTCCTATAAACCAGTTACAGCTATAGTTATATAGAACAATAAAACTACTGCTCCCCATGTATATTCACGGACCATAACTAAATACTATAAGAATTGCAATTCACTAACAAGTGGTGTATCTGTTTGTATTGAAGTTGAAGTAAATTTTCAATAATTGACACGCAAGTTGTTTTATTATTGCGCATACCTTATTCAAGTATCTTTTTTGATGCACCTACTTCAGTAATACTGCTTAGCTCGAAAGAAAAAACTAAAATCCATAACAACAATTCGCCAAAAAAAAAAAATGCAGGAAACTAAGAACCAATATTACACTTGGCAGTTGACATGTTATAGAAGAAGGAGGTTCGTCGGTCAGATGCATCATCTTGTAAATACAGCAACAATGTAAGGTCTTGAAATAACACAAGGTAGAAAAAAGTCAAAATAATGTTTTTTTAAGATGAATTACATTGGGACAACAACATTGGCAACACGATCGTCGATTTCTAAGCGATAAAAAAGTAGCAACGTTTAAGGACAAGCCAGCAAAGAATCGCTGTTGAAACTCTTGGAAGGTTTGGCGGAGCTGGTGAGGATTGCAGGGAAAAATGCGTGTAGCACAAAATAAAATTCGTGATTTGTCGGTCGTTTTTAAAGGGCAGCAGATAAATATAACAATATAAAAAAATAAATTAAAATGGTTTATTCAATGAGGAAAAATATTGCAGGCTCAATAAAAGCTTTAAGTTCCTTTAACCGATGTATTAAATACACAAATAAAAAAGGTTTACTTTAAAAATAATGATAATTAATTATAAAATAATCAAAAACTTAATGAATTATAATAAATCAAAATGTAAAGTTTATCATAATAATATCATTATTTTTAAGAAAAAAATATTTATAATTTCAACATAAAAAATAGTCAGCTTTTATTTTTTGGCAAAAACAAAATGATGAAAATCATAATAATAAAAAAAAGATCACATATATGTTATGATTTCAGTAAAAAAAGGTTGTTTAGTATCAGAAACAATGGATCAAACAATTTCCTGTTATGACGCCAATGGAGTATTTGACGCTTTTTCGATGATCAGTCAAGCCATTAGTTTAGGGATGGATAAATTTGCATTTTCTGAGTTATTAATATAACTTTTATGATTGATAATATGGCACGTATACATGTCTTCACTATTTAAGAAATACTGAATCTAAACCAATTCATAAATATGCATAAGACAAGCATTGACTGATCTCTGAGACTCGCATCACTAATACATACAAAAAAAAGAATTATAGAGAACAATAATTTGTGTACATATACGTTATTATGTGGATATATTAAGAGTTAATGGCAATCAGTACCTTTACTTTATTTTGTAGATCGACCTATTAGTGTCTATTATAAATATATCGAATTGTAAAAGTTGCTAGATTTGAACAAAACTTCAGCTAATTCAGATGTTGAAATGGAATGATTTTCTATTTTTTGAAAGAGTCGGATGTAGGCCGTGGATGATACTATTTAGTTAGTGCATTAAGTCCTTGATACTGACATAAAGTAATAATGTGTTTCTGAACTATGCATATTAAAATCATGTTTTTACAACCTGAATGTTTTCTACGAAATCTAATAACTCTTTTAATTTAATTTTTTTTTGAAGTGCCCATTATTACTTTTATGTTGGCAATACTGTATTTAACGTTTATCAATTTACAACACGTAAACAACATTTCACTTCATTTGTTTGTCAATTTAATATAAATTTTTTTAGACAGAGGAAAAACTACTTTTCCTCGTCATGAATGCCAAGAAAAATGCGTAAAATTTACGCATATTTAATATTTTATTTATTTTTATATTGATTTTTATTTTATTTTTTTTTTAATTTTAATTAAAAAAGTGCAGCAAACTGAAATGCAACATGCAAATTCCTACACAAATGCGGTTTACAAATTATAAAATGTGCGTCTAATAACCTGTCAGGCCACAAATCCGACTTTTTAGTTGGCATATCTTTAGCAATTTGACTCTCGAAGCAGTGTACACAGTTTTTGCGATGTTTTGCAGTTTAGCAGTTTTTATTTTTATTTTTATTGTGTTTAATCCGTGGCTTACAGAAACTTAAGTTCAATATTCAATATAAACTCAATTGAGTACCACAAAATGTACACAGCTGTAAGAGCAAATGCTGTACGAGCCGAGCGAAGTCAGCTATCTCATTTGGAAGGTGCCACGCAAAAATGCCAAAACATTGGAATGTGTTTAGCTTTAGCTTTAGCTTTACCGTTTTCATTTTATTTCATTTTAAATTTTGGCCTTTAGTAACTCTAAAAATTGAATTTTTTCTGACTTAAACTATCTGAACTGCTGGATTTGTTTGATGTTTAACAGGTGTTTACTTGAAAGTTTTGAGAACAACTGGCTTATTTTTGCATTCATTTCTATAAGATTGTCTAAATTTTAACTTAATTAATTAAACAACTTTTATTTATTATTTATTATATACATTTTTTTTTATCTACTTTTATATATATTAATTTTTATTATAATCTTGTTATGACCAATGCTTTTTTGGGTTTTTCTTTACATAATTTAAAATTTCAAAAGAATTTGATTAATTAATAAATTACAAATATTATGTATATTATATATGTAATTTTAACATTATTACATAACACCCTAAGCATAAGTTTACTGTGGAATAATAGGGAGGTGAAAAGTCAACTAATTACGTATATTGAACGACATACCAAAATACATGATCGACGACCTGAAAACAAATAATAGTAGACAAAAATACATATTGCTACTTGAAGTTTCAATATTGTATTTAGATATGAATTTAGATATGAAATATAATTCCTTCCTCTTGGATTACTACTGCCGATTCAAGTCTTTCAGAAAACATTGTGCAGAAGAAACAAAAAACAGTTGAATTTGTACAATTGGAATAGTTTCTCTCTAACTCTGTAGTGTAGTTTTCCAATTTATTTAAAGTATTTTGTGCTTCATTTACAATAAATAAATAAATAAAACCTTACAGATTTTTTATTTAAAATGCACTATTTTGATTAAAAGTTATACGAATAATTAAAGTCAATTTGGTTTTTGTTCTTCTCAAGATTATTTTTTTAGCATGTTTAAATCTATTCAAATTTTTTTTTTTTTTGTTTTTTTTTCTTATTAATCCAATCTTGAGCAACTTTTGCTTTTATTTGAAATTTTTTAAACAAATTTTAGATTATTTGTTGATATGAAAATAACTCTCACCTTCCGATGTTCTTAATTCAACAATTTTAATACTCTCTGGTCTCTTGAGTCTCTCAGTTATAACTGCTTCTTTTATTTTAATTTTAACATTCAATTACCTTTGTCTTTACCTGGTTCAGTACTCGTTCCAATTCTGATTACATCCTCCAGTACTTTAAACGCTTGGCTTAGAACTCAATTTCCCAACACCGTATCTTACTTCACCTTTTTCACAGTATTAAATAGTTAACTTCTGCAATTTTTCTAATATTTTAATTTTTTTATTCAACTTTATTTGTGTATAATGAAATAATACAAGACAATGCTGCTTCTTTAACATTGCGGGAGATTTATGCTATTTTCAACTTTTAAACTCTTAAGCGCTCTACTGCAATTCAGCGTAATCATGCACCTGCAATTTACTTTATAGACCATGGCATAATGTATCCAAGCGTGTACAACGTACGGGCATAACTATTCATATAGATGTATTCTGTATATATGTATGCATTCAAATTAGTATTGGTATCTCTGTAGTTGTAAATGTTTGAGTATGTGTGATCGGTCTTCTTGGATTGAGTGGAGTGAGTGCTGGTACTATACCACCTGAAAATTTTTTTGTTATTTATTTTTTTAAAGCACAATGCACAATGCACAATGCACATTTTTATTTTCTTTCAATTGCATCTTTGCACTTCAAGTGCAGTATCCGTGCCCGCGCACCCGTATACGTGTGCGCAGAGCGTGTTCAAAAGTCTGTACTATTAATTTGTCTGTCCGTATATATAAATAGTTATATATATTTTTTATTTTTATTTATATTTTCGTTTAATGCTGCATTTCTTATGAATATGCGCTTGCGCTTGCGCAGCTAGTGTGACAACCTTTTGCAGTTTAAGCTTGGCTCTACTCCACACTTTTTAGTTAGAGTTTTTACCAACATCGTTGTAATACATACGACGATATAATATTTTTTTTTATGTAACTTCTTTTTATTTTTTTTTTTTTGTATGCAATTTTTGTCATAAAAGTTTTTATTAAACTTCATTGTTCAACTAATTTGCTTAATTTTTTTTAGTTTTATTTATATTTAAAAAGAGAACATTTTTAAGCAAAGTATATTTTGCTTAAGGCTAAATGTGATGTTATATATGAACCTAGCTTATTAGTAGCTACATACTGAACTTGAACTTCAACTGGTTGAGGTTATGAATTTGAAGTAACTTAAGATCTCTAAGCGCAACCACCATACAGAATCTATATTTAAGAATGTTAGCAACTTTTTGAGAGGGGAAATAATAATTTTGCTGAAAAAATATATATAAAAGAAAATTGTGCGCTGCAAACGGTATCATAATAGACCCAATTAAACTTAAAAAATTGTCTGTATGTTATTTATTAAAAAACAAACAACAAGATTTAAAGAGATACAAAAAGCTATATATGTCAACAATTTTGGATCTACTACTTGTTGCTTTTCTATCGCAGTTATATTGATAATTCAATTTGTAATATTTATTAAATTTCTGTTACATTCACCTGTTATCATCTATAGTATACTTTTAATTTCTTTATTTTTTTATCTAACATTGATTAATAAATTTTTAAATTTTAAATTTTTATTCATGATTATTTTGTCATACTTATAGTTCTTATACAAATATTAGGTAAAACTTATTTTACCTATTTTTACTCGTATTTCATTTGTTCCATTCCTCTTATGTATATGTATCTATCAACAAAATCATTTATATATAATTTCTATTTTATATTGATAATCATTACTGTTTCGTATATCCATAACTTCCATTTTAGTGATTTTTTATTTTATATGTATTCTTATGCCTAATTTATGTATTTTTTCTTGTGTCTTAGTAATTTTTTACATTATAAAAGTATAAAATTTTCTAACAAATGTCTAAACAGATTAATATAACTAAATTTTAAAATTAATCTAATTAACTTAATTAGATTGAAACTCTGAAGTGTGACCTTTTGACAATTCTGTATTACAAGTTTGTTTTTTTATTTGAAGCATTTCAGTAACATGATAAAGTTAATTTTTAACTCTAATATAACAAATTTTTTTTTGTTCCATAATTCTGAAAAATAATTTAATTCTTCAAAACATTAAGATAACATCTGTAATTTAATTCTTTACATCGTGATTTTCGGTTTTTTGAGTTAATTTCTTTTTATTTTTTACATATGCACGAAATGATGTTTTTTGGGAAGATAAGTTCAACAGGCTGCTGCCTTACTATTACCGTGTAGTTACCACGTGAATATTACAGATACCTATGTGTACAGCTCAATACCTACATATCAACCTTGCATTCAGAGCCAGCCTCTCATTTTCACTAATGCCTAATAATTAATCTTCATTTAATAACCTGCTTCTTTCATTTTTATATTTATTGTTTTTCATTTCTTCGAAGAATATGTATCTGCATCTGTATCTGTATCTGTTTGTTGTTTCTCACAAATCTTTTAATGCAACTCAAATGCATGAGAATATATTTTTTACACAATTTTTTTATTTAACATATTTGTTGTTGTTGTTGTTTCAGTTTCCAAAATTAAGATTTTTTTATTATTTTTAAGTTTGTTTCGCTGCCATAAAAAAATATCTTCCTTCGTACATAAAATATAAGTTAAAATTTTTATCAAATATTATTCATTTTTGTGTCTTCGCTTTTTTTTCTTTGTAGACTTACTTATACAGCGTCTTTCGGTGCAGCAAGTCTTGGATGTATCAACGGAATGGAAAACGAATAAATCAGAATCGCAATATACTTGGTTGGAGTATGATTTCCGTGTCATTTGCGATGCGCATTACTATGGTACGGGCTGTGCGAATTTATGTCGCCCCCGTGATGATAATTTCGGGCATTATACTTGCTCAGAGACGGGCGAAATTATATGCCTAACTGGTTGGCAAGGAAACTACTGTGAGAAAGGTAAGTTTAAGTACTGTTCATTTTTAAATCAAATGATATAGAATACCATATACTGATATTATTGAACCAATAAGTTTTAATATTGTTAACTGAACATCATTTTAAAGTATTTCAAAATATTAATAAGTTAGTTTGAAGTAGGCACTCAAAGTTATAGGTATATATAGGCCAAAAGAAGCGCCACATCAACTTTTAAACGAAAAAATTTATTATTTCTCATTGTAAGGATATTTTCAGATTAGTGTCAGCAATAAGTCGTTGTTATTCTTATTTTATACTTATATTTTTATAAAGTATGTAAAGAGGTACCCTTCAAACAGACTAATATCATTGCATATAGTAGATATCATACATTTACTTTCACTTCAGAACTTGAAAACTATATTTTATTCACTCTAACAAATCCTAAATTAGTTAGACAAATTTTTTATTCTCTCGAAAAATTTAAGAGGTACCCTTCAAATAAACTAATATCATTGCATATAGTAGATATCATACATTAACTTTCACTTCAGAACTTGAAAACTGTAGTTTATTCACTCTAACAAATCCTAAATTAGTTAGACAAATTTTTTATTCTCTCGAAAAAACTAAAAAAATCACTTTAAGGATATTTTTAGTTTATTAAAATAAAGAATCATTAAAAAGTTTTTAAATTTATGTACTTTAAATAATGTTTGCGATCTTTAAATGTCACCTATAGTTATCAATTCTACACAAAAATAAGTTTATGAGTTAATTTCTTTTTTTCAACATTGAACATTTTTTTCAACTACTAAAATACTAACTACCATCTAATTAAAATCATTCATGTTCAAGAAATTGCTAACTTCCTTTTCATATTATTTGTATAACAACATTTGGCTTATAAAATCATTCATGAAATACATATTTCAGTTTTATCCGTTTTTTATTTAATGGAAAAGTGCAGGTTTTTGTTCTATCATTTCTTGTGTTCTTCCCCACTTAGCCCAATTTTTGAGCTTACCTCAATCAAGTCCTTTGTTCTTTATTATCGCAGAACACAAAACTTAAAAACAAGAAATTGAACGTTAATTTAAGGCCATTTGCTGCTCCTTCACAAACAACTCAAATTATAAAGAAACAGAAGAAGCAGCTGTATTTTTGGCAGTTCTTCCGATTTTTTCATTATACCTACATGTCTTTCATTTTTTACTCCTTACTGCACTGTACTACTGTGTATGCTTGATCTTTTAATATTTGCCTTCATACGAATACGAATGCGAATACCTGTATGGAATATTTAACAAAAACAGGACCAAAAAATTGTTTACCAAAAAAATACAAGGTGTAATCAACATCCGCCAAGACTTCAACTCAAACCAAGAAATTATATAGACAAGCATAAATACGAGTCTCGAAGGGTCTTTAAATTCAGAACAGTAAGCGCATGCGTGCTTATGTTTATTTTTTGTTGCCTCCACTGGCAACACTCGATTTGCTGCTTCGCTGCTACTGCGCTGCTGTATGAGTAAAACTAAGCAGCCTTGCAGTAAAGTTAATTGTGACCATAATTTATATTTTTAATAATTTTCTTTTCATATATTTAAACATTTATTGTTTTTTTTGTTTGACATATTATTTTGGTTAATCACTCAACTGTGCTATGTTGTTCCCTTGGCGCTCTATATATTCACGATAGATAATCTACATTATTAATTTTATCATTGATAATGATAATTTCACTAAACAATTAAAATGGACCAATTGGTCCACTGTTAATATTAACTGAAGACTACTCATGATTATATTTTACCAAGCAATTGCAGTCTTCCTTTTCTTATGCTCTCGCAACGCAACGACAAATGATTGAACTTTTTTTCTCTAAAATAAGCAACACTGCTGCTGCACTTTATTGCTGTCACTTCGCTGCATCCACTTAATCTAATAAATAAACTAAATTAAACGTTGCTGCTGCTCTGCCTGCACATTTTTTTAGAAGTTTTGGCAGCTTCCCTTTTATTTAATTTTGGTTTATTTTTTATTTGATATTATTTTTTATTCATTTTCACCACTACCACCACCACACCTTCGGCATACTAAATCTTTGCCCAGCTGTAGCGTGGGAAGATTTTTCACTTTGGTTGCTGTGGCATAACATGCTGATGAAACTAACAGAACCTAAAATGATCAACCAAGAAAGGTACAATTCAAAGGAAGGCTGTTGTTACTGCCGCTGTTGCCGTTGCCATTGCCGTTGCTGTTGCTGTTGCTGTTGCCGATGCTGTTGGTACGGTTAAAGGTATTGTTTTACTGCTGTTTTAGGTATTTTTTAAGTTTTCCTTTTTGTTTTCCTTTTATGCCTTCGTACTGTTTATTTGCTTCTGCCTCCTTCCTTGGTCAATTTAACTGGCTGCATTTTGATTTAGTTTGCTAGAGCAGCTTATGTTCTGGGTACCCGTTCTGGACGTACTGATTTAGTTTTATTCGAACTCTTTTATTTTGGATGGTATTGTCGGCTTTTTGTATAGGAGCAACTACAAAAGAAAACAAAAATAACAAAAAATAAAATTAAATGCTTAAAATGTTGCTGCTGCATGCACATGATTATCAGCTGCTAAGCTGCGGAGTGCTTGTATGTAGCAGCTCCATGCTACTTAACTGCAGTACTTTTTTAACACTCAATATAGCCGAAATTAAATCTTTGTTAACAGTTGTGTGTGTTTCAATGATGCATTAATGAAATCCAGTTCGATTGGTTCGGGTCTTACAAAACAATAAACCGAAATCAAAGTAAATCAAACACGCACGATGACAAATAGAATTAAGATTTTTTGCTTTAATAATTTATTGACTTATAATTTAAGTTTACAAAGTCTAAACTGTGGCAGCCATACTTTTCAACCTGGAATGCCAAAGATACTTTGTGAACTGAACGGCTTCGCTGCATATCAATACAATATTTAAAAGCCATACTCAGTTGCGGACTCTTCAGAAATAACTTCTCGTTTCATAATTACACTTTAATTTGATTGTTTGCTTAGGTACGTTCTTTCAACACAAATATCTTGAAAAGTTTTGTGTTTTGTGTTTTGTTTTATTTTGTAAAATCATCTTAGATGATTTGACAGGCAAGTGATTTTCAATAATAATAAAATGTATGTATGTGTATAAAAAAAGTACCATTTTATTTTTTTTTTCTTAAATATTTTAAGTGGTTTTCATATGAAAATGACATAAACTTACTATAGTGGTAGCTACAATTAAGCTTAAAACTTGGTGGCAACTACAGACATATTGTTGAAAGATACTCTTACATTTTGCGCCACATTTAGCTGTTTTTAATATTGACAGCTGAAATTTGGGCTTATCGACTTGATTTGTTGTTTCACGAATTGGGTTGATAACTTCACCGCTATTATACGAGTACGAGTATATTAAGGTGAATGGCACTTTAATATGTAATTTATTTGAAATACTACAACAAATCTTTAATTTATAAAAAAAATAATTTAGAAAGCTACGTGTTTTCTATTGAATTAGTTCTTTTACTTCTAATAGCAATCTTTCTTCACTGAAACAAATTTAAAAGGAATTCCTAATTTTAATAATAATTTATAATATTGAAAGTACTACAAACACTAGACAAGATATGAACGTATTACTGGAGTGTATTCTATCCGAAAAAAGTTAGTCAAAAATATACAAATATGCACGGAAGTGAGATTTTGTATTCGACGAAGAAAAAGACTGACAAGTTAGCTAATGAATCATATATAGAGCACTATGATTATCTAGTCTTCTAACTAAAATATAGTGTCTATCATTTAAACTTTATGGCCTTGGTTTAGACACGATTGTTTATAGTATTGTTTATTTGAGATCGATGCTAAGATCAATATTTAATTGAAAATTTGAACAAATTTTTTACTCAAATTTAACAGTCATGATAGAATCGTTAAATTTAAATTGTGGATAATGTTAACTGGTATATCTGTATGAATCATAAATATGTTCTAAAGGCATAACCTTTGTTCTAAAGCAAATAACCCTTTAGTTTGCTGTATAGTAGTAAATTTTAAAAGTGTTAAGAGTTGACTTTTCTCTTAGGTCCCAAAAAACCTCATATAATGTGAAGATTATTATGACTGAGTAGTAAAGACAGAGATACTATATCAAGCTGAAGCTATGAATTTATGTGAATAGTTATTTTTTTCTTATAGTTATACCGACTTTTTTAAATTTAAATGAAAAATAAATATGTATAAATTTATATAAGATTTATTTATTTATAAGTAGAATAAATATGAATAAAACTATGATAATCTTATAAATCTATTTTAAGTAAGCTTACTTATGGGATAGTCCTTATTAAAGAAATTTTATTTTATTCTTATGAAATACAAGCTATTTATAAAGCTCATTAAAAACTAACTTATCTACCATTCAAATTTAATAAATAAATTCTTATATCTACCAAAACAAAGTTTTGCTAATCTAATTATCTAATTATGATTATAATTATAAATCTAATTATGTAAATCACACAAAGGAAGTTTTTTAGAAGGTCATTGTCTATTTCATATTTGATATAGTTCAACTATATTTGAACTCACCTATTTTATGATTTCTCACGTGTTCATTTTTGAATATGTTTTAGTCATAATATAATATTGTAATATTTACTTAAAGTATCTTTATACATAAATAACTAACACAGATACAAATAAATTGCATACAAAAATGTTGTAGTGAAAGTGCTTATGTTGGGAAAACTGCGCTAATTCTATAATCGCAAATCCTTGCGGGCGTGTGAACTTGTCCATAAAGACAAATTCCTGCTATAATACAAAATTCTTGTTTTTCCACTTTTTTGCTCCTATATATCTCTTCGAACTTCCTACGCTTTAGACACTCACTTTCAGCTAGTCAGCAGCCAAAAACAAAAAAACAACAACAATTTCACACAACCATATAAAGTATTTATTAGCTTAGAAAAAGTAGATACCACAAATAATATAAATAAAATAAAAGTGGATTCATTACCTTCTCGTATCTACATTTAGTGCTCTATTCCAGCAATTGGTTGCTGCCTGCAAACCATTAGGTTCCTCAAGGAAGAAACCAAAGACGAACTAAGAACATGAAAAATGGTAAAAACTAAAAGCACTCTTTGTTGGCTAAGTCATAATGTAATAAGTATCGCACCGTATGAAGTCCATAATAGTAATGGTTGTTGGTGTAGGTATTGGAAAACTTCTATTGGTAGTCGATTAGAGTATAGACATTAATTTAGTAGGTATAAGTGATTTTGTCTTTAGCAAAAGTATGCGAGCACGTTTTAGTTATTTCTTTAGTAATAAAAGTGTTTCGCACTAGAAAATATCCATTGCAATCAAAACTTGAAGAAGTTACAGTGTAAAAGATTGGAAGAGTGGATTAGCGGATGAGTCGCGGAGTTGCAGAGTTGCAGATGGAAGAATCAGTAAAATCAGCATTACTAACTGATTTAATAAAATTGCAGCAAATTGTACAACAACTTTACTGACTGCTTCGATCACAACGTTTTCTTACTACCGACTCTGGGTATCTGTGTGCTCGCATGCCGACCTGCCAACACTCTTCGCAATTCCTGCAGGCCTATTTTTGCTTTTCAATGAAAACTTTACTTCCTTTTTATTCACAACAATACCAAAAATGAAAACCAGGAATAAAGTCTTTACACTACAACATGGCTATATGGCTATATGGCTACATGGCTAGTTCTTCTTAGCTGTTCGGCTAAATCGCTAGTCTGTCTGTTTGTTTTATTGGAATTTTTACAAGTTGCGGCTTTTTTGGTTTGGTCAGGTATTCGTAATTCACGATTTTTCTCTTCTACTGCACACCCAAGTACTACATATACAAACAGCCCTTTTTGTAGTTTTTTCTGTTTTACTGCTTTGGTGAACTCCCTTTTTATTATTTTTATTTTAAGTTTGTAACATGCTTTTAGCATTTTTCTCTTGATTTACCCATACGGTGACGGCTATACAAGCACGGTTTTGCCTGCCGTTCCAACTGAAAAGGCCAAGTTTAAAGTTGTTGTATCGATCGATTCCTATTCGTAAAAAATAACATAAAATCGAACTTAAAGCTTGGGAATCTCTTCACAAAAATTTGTTTTATATCTTTGGGTATTGTAGCTGTTTTTGTTGACCATGAGATTGTTTCGTATAGCATGCCATTGCACATATGCTGATATGCTGACATAAGTAGATACATTTATGTACGAGTATGTACGATCTGTGGTCGTTATGCAGTGATCTACGTTGTGTCGGTGTCAGTGTCAGTGTTTGAATACTCGTACTACAAGAATATAATTTTGGATTTTTAAGTTTCTTGCCCGGTTGATTTTATTACTCAATTAGTAATTCTTTTATAAAGAGTAGTAAATAGTGGTGCTTCAATAGTGGTAGATTTAATTTCAAAGTAAAGAAAGTACTTTAACTATAAATTAGTTACATTATGTCCAATATTAAAACTCCGAACCACAAACAGAGCTAAAGTAATTCTGTGAACTGTAAATTGAACTATTGCTTTCCAATTGTAGGACGGGATCGCTGTCTTATACCTATATTTATATAATTTTTAGGATTTTATTGCAGATATATTCTGACTAATTTCAATATGTTTTCTTTTATTTATTCTTTTTCAATAATAGAAGCAAATATTTCGAAAAAAAAATAACAAATTGAAGTTTGCCGACACACAATGATAAAGTTCAAAGCAAAATAACGATCTAAAATGAAATCGCGGAGGCAGCTAAAAACCTATTAAATAAATGAAAACATTTAAATTTTTTTTTTTTATATACATTTTTCAACTTCATAATTTAAATGTATTTTTCGTTTAATTCCTAAAATCAAAAAAATTATACAAAAAAAGAAAGTATTACTGGTATTCGTTATGTGTGGGTTATATAGATGTTATTTAACTGTATTAAGTAATTGCATTCAAATGCATTAATAGTTTTATTTATGTTTACATATCTATTTAAACAAATGTTATTAGAATTGAATTAATTTTTCATATTATTTCTTTACAGCTAAATGCGTTAAAGGTTGCGAACATGGCCATTGCGAAAAGCCAAATCAGTGCATGTAAGTATTCTATTTACTATTGTTATTATATTATCTAATATTTATTAAACTATTTATTAAATTTAATTCAATTTTTTTTAAATTCCTTTTAATTATATGCATCAAAATCAATACATCAGTTAGCTTTTTTATACACTTCATTATCTCTAATTGTCGCTTTCTGCATTCATACTATTTCCATTCATTTTATTTCCTTAACAAATTAATATATTGTATATATATAGAATTTGTTGTTGTTGTTGTAGTGACCTAATTGTATTCAATTATAATGAGTAAAAGCTACAAACTGTGTAGCAGGGAATCTGCTGCCCTAACACGTGTGCTTAAACGCAAATAATTACTAAAAACCGCTACGAAAACCAACAATAATTTGCAGCTTTTCTCATTGTTTGCGTTTGCGTTTGCTGTTGCTGTTGCTGTTGCTGTTGGATTAAGTAATAAGCCATGGTTAAAGAAAAATCTTATGATCTGCACAAGAAAGCCAAAGCCTCAAACACCAGACCAAATAAAATGCAGTAAAATGCTTACCTCATTTTTTATAATATTCGTAGATTTTTTTTATTATTATCTATAATAAGAAACTTCCTTTTCGGTTTCACATAATAAACATAACTTCAGTTCACTTCACTGGTATTTGTGTATATGTGATTCTTGAGATGGAATAAGATCTAAAATTAAAAGAAAAAACAACTGCAACAGCTGACGGGGAGGTACTGCAAGTGCAACTAACTGAATTTGACTTTAACTAACTGTTAAGGAGAATAAAAAATATCCACATATGTCTAATGCAGTTGCATATTTATTTGTGGTTATCATTATTATAATTTTTTTTATATTTTCTTTAATTTTTTATTTTGCTCTATCATGCATATTTCATTTATTAGTAAAATTTATATTATTTAATATTATTTGTATGAAATTAATTTCGTTTTAATGTGAGCCTTGCTGGCTTTCGAGTTGCTTTAGTAAAATTACACACAAAAATCTCCAAGCTAAGCAAAGTGTATTCTTTCACCTGTTCCAAATCACAACAAAATAGCCAAACTCAGACATATTTTAAGTCAAAAACAAAAATAAGAAAATAAATTTCAGTAACCTGGCTTAGGCACTTGTTGTAATTCTTAGCTAACTTTCTGAACATTATTCACATTTTGTATCTTATTGCTCATATGCCAACGAACGAGTCAAGCTACAAAATAACTGCGAGCTGCACTGGCATTGGCTCAGCTATGTTTGCTCACGGCATAAAAATGTGGGAAAAATATGTAATTTAATTTTTAATGTACATCAACATTAAATTGTAATGCAAAACCTCACAAATATAAAATTAAAATCACTACCAACAACACAGACACACAGATACACAGATACACAGATACTAATGCAAAAAAACCTAAGCTAGCAAATGAAGTACAAACCGCTAATGTAAGACAAAAGCTTAACAAACATTTTTATGCAGTTTTAAATTAAATTTAAGAAAATATTTTGTTTTTACGATGCCATATGACAAACTGACAGTCTGTAGAGTCTGTAGAGTCTGTATAGTCTGTATAGTCTGTATGACGAATGCGACAGACATGCAGAGGACGGACCGGACCTGACGGTAAATTAGACAAACTCTCGTGCTTAAATGAGCATCAAGCATTTTTCAAGTCAACTAAATTCTTGTGGTTTAAGTTAAAAATCACAAGTCATTTTAGTATCTATATTTTTTTTATGAAAAAAATTGCCCTTTGCAAAATAAATCTTAAAATAGAAAAATTACAATGAAAAAAAGAATTAACAAAATAATATGAAACTGATTAAATAGTTGCAAAAGGTGTGTCAACGCTTCGTTCGGCGACTGATTTGCCTCGCTTTAAGCGCGACTAGTTTGGGAGTGCTGTACTGTGCTGTGCTTTGCTGCATTGCATTTCACATTTTACTACAAAATCTAACAAGAACAAATATTAAAAGAGGATGAGATACGGACCTATCAGACGTAGCCAACTAAGTCTGATGTGAGTCGCTCCGCACATAAAACAAAAACGACTTCATTAAAAGTATGAAAAATTGAAATTGTAGCGCAGTAAACGCAAATCTCCATGAAATGTCTATAAAATGTTTAGTAGCAAATTACAATTTATTTACATTTAATATGCTTAATGCTCACGAAACGTGCAATAACTAGCTTAACTAGTCGCTACTGCTACTAGTTACTATTTACTATTTAAAACTGTTATATGCTGCGTTAAACCAAACTAATTTGTTACAAATTTAAAAAAAAACGCAAGTAATTTAAGTGTCAAAGGTTAAACAATTTAAACTTAACTTAAGATAAAAAAACTTAAGATAATTAATTAATTTTAGCTGTGCTGAAATTTTAAATTTCTTCTATTAAAAATTAAATTTTTAACAATTCATACTTGGCGTGAAATGTTACTAAAAATGTTTAAAAATCTATTTCATATAAAATGTATTTATAAATATAAGCAAATTTTCGACCGTTACTTTGTATCGGCATTACATGTTAATAGTCAATCAATGTCATAGATTTCTTGGCTAGATGTGCATAGCTATACAAATACTCTTTATGCAGCGTTTCATTGGATTACCTGTAATTATGAATGCAACATTTGCTCACTAACAATCAGACAGAAGGACCTAACTAAAGGACATACACATACTATATGGATTTTCCGAATTGAACTTGTCTTACAAACATTTTGTCAACTTAAATACATATAACAGAGACGACGAAATGACGTGTATTTTGAAAATACTTCGAGACATCCACGAAAATTCGGTCAGCTTAAATTTATTATGAAAGCGAAATCGAAAAAACACTCAAGCCAGAGAGATGAAAAATATCATGACTCAAGAATCTACAACAATGGTTGAAAAAAGCATAAGCATAAGATCGCTCTTTCTGAAAGCTGTTGATAGATTAAGAGTAGCTGATAGATTTTAAATTATAAAAATCATATAGCTACCCTTTTCGGCGTTGGCTGTATACTGATTTAAATCTATGTACGTACTAATCCGATTCCTGTGGTACTACAATGGGCCATCATTTGAGCTCAAGTCGGCTTTGTGGAAACAAGGTCGCCACTCCAATCTACTGGCTACCTAACTACCTCAGTATTTAACACATTTAAACGAAATTTTTACAAATTTGAAAGGAGTTATGACTTTCCATGTAGGGTTTGCTACAGGGCGCTTAACACAAAATTTTCTTAAGGTTTTTCTTTTTTGTTGCTTTTATCATTAAATTCGTTTTTAATTCATGTCACTTTAATAAGAAAACTACAATTATGAGCAAATTTTTTAATTATTCAAACATGATTTTGTATGCTGCTACCTTAACTATGAAAAGCAGCTTGTGGTGGACTTGAATATTGAATATAAATAAATTCAAGTAAGTTCAGCGCGCAATAACACACTATTGTCAACGATTGCCAATAACCATAAATAACTACCGGAGATTTCTTTGCTATAAAATTGTTCCCACAGTTCAGCCTTCATCTGTTAACACTGGAACAACAACAATAAGAAATGATTTGCAATTATGACACGTTATATTTGCTAAGACAGAAGAAAGTCAGTCTGTCAAAAGTGATTTTCGCTTATAATTTTTAAAAATTTTAAATGTATTTCTGATTTTTTATTAAATGAATACTAATTTGTGTAAGATTTAAACAAATTTCAATTAAATGTAAAAAGTGTAACATTGCACATGACAAAAAAGTGAAGAAGTGTCTGCAGCAGCAGTGCAACTTTTGAACAAAACAACAACAACTCAAACGCTACCATAAAACACAGTTGTGAAAAAACAAAATCACAATAAACTTCTTTTATAAAGAAATCAGTTGGCAACACTGTCTGCGCACCTTTAGCGGTCGTAACTGTTCTTATGTAAATTTATATGGACGACTTGGTACGTACGTACGTACGTACGTATGGACATATGGACGTCTAAAGCAGAAATTGTGAATGCCACTTGAATTATTAAAACATTCCCACACTGAGCAACTGAGCCACTGAGCTCATATCACATACCATATTGCGGCGCGAAGAGTGTGTTTGGTGAATATGGATTCTTAAACGTTTTGATTACCAACTACAATAATTATTTTTCATTTCAATTCATTTAAGTTCATTTTGAATTATAGAGAATTCGTTTTCCGAAGAAAATCAATTTCAAATTTAATGAAGTTAGGCGAGCGCAATAGCATTAACCCAAACAAAATGAAATTAAAACCAAAGCTTGTGGCTACACTAGCAGCAGCAGCAGCAGCACACAACTGCCGCCTTGATAATGTCGAGCAGCAAAGCACATTGCCTTAATAAGCATGCGTAGCGCTTATGAATTGTGTATTTTTGTGTAATGGTTTGCTGCTCGGTACTTTTAAATGTTGATGTTGTTTTTTGATGAAAGAAATCATTTAAATACTTTTCTTGTGTGTTGTTGTGTTTGTTAAATCACAATTTACTGCCCGACTGACTACCGGGCAATATTAAAGTATTAAATTAAGATATTTTTGAAAATGGAACTTAAAGTTTTCTGTGCTCTTGCAAATTCATTCAATTTTCAATTAATTATAAATTTAATTTATATGCTTAGTTGGTACATTATTATTGTAAAAAAATGAATTTCAGACTTATATTATATTATATAAATCTCAACTTATGTTTATCTTGCCATTATTGCTGTAGCTGTTCTTGATATGTGAATTCTTAATGAAAAGTCAGCAACAATTTTTTTTTTAAATTGTAACTGGAACAAGAACTTTCCACTCATTAGCCTAAGTTAAGTCAAATTGTCTCTTAAAATAGATCAATCGTCAGTATAAAATCATCAGATAAATTATTTATAATTGATTCTTAAGAATGTATGATTTACAAAACTGCTGATAAATAAGATTATCGAATGTTCAATGGCTTAAATAAATATTCTTTTAATTTTATTTCATTGATTAGTTGATTGCTTTAAAATATGTAGTTTGTAAATTTCTAGTAATACATATACATAACATATATACGATATGTAAAATATTAAATGACATTAGTTTTAACATAAAATTATGCTCAACTTAACTTTATGGAATCAATTTAATATTTTATTTGTCGCTGTGTTGCGCAGCTGCCACTTGCTTTTTAATGCTGCTTTATATACGTCGTGCCATCATTAACAGTAATGCAGTAGTAGCAGTAACAACAACAAAATAGCAGCAAGTGTGTTAGTGTTGAAAACATATACATATGTTATGTTATGTTATGTTTATATGTGTGTACAGAACTGTTGTTGAAAAGAACCTTTCATATTTTATTATAGCTTGCAGACGTCAGACTTAACTTGAGCAGTTGTCTCTTAACTGAGTTTTACTTGCTGTCGTTATTATTGTTGTTGTTTATGTCATTTTATTAACATTGTTAATATGTATTTCCAGAAAACAATTCACCTGCCACTTAATGTATAAAGAAAACCTTAACATTTTTTTTAGCAGAGTTTGCTTGTTTCTTTACAAATAAATAGGTCTTTTCTATTTTTACAAACTTTAAAAGCGTCTGCCTCTGCCTAAGCTTTTAAATAATTACGATTAAATTAAAATTTTTTCCAATACAATTGTGCCAGAGCCCCGAACTCTGTGTTAATAATTGTTTTTTTTTTTTTGATTTGTGAATTTGTAAACATTTTATAGATTGAATATTTTTTAGTTTTATCAGAAATCGTCCTTAGTCTATTTTTTTATTTATTGTAACATTTACTGATTGATAATATGTGACTTCCGTTTGGTTGAGATTACTCTGCGCCGTAGCAATGACTTACCAAAAAATGACTACCAGCAGCAAGGGAAGTAGATAAGTGAGGAGTACAAAAGGTTAAATAAACTCAAAATTGTTATTAAAGAAAAAAGAAGTTTACTTGTGAGAGGAAAAAATTATAATTCTGTTAGATTATTTTAACATAAACATGAAAAATAATTAGTTTTTAAAATGATTGGGTTAAACACGGAAAAGTAAATATAAATTTAGTTCACACATATTCAAATATTCACAATCTTGCTGTACTGTAGGCTATTACAGTAGCAATTTGTAATACTTTGTAATTATTATAGTTACTCTCAAAACTTTTTTACAAAAATTGGGATGTGGGGGCTTTCAGATAATGTTAGTAAATTAAAAAATATTAGCAAGTGTATGTATAGCTGTTCGAATTATTGCGAAGTAGTGTGAGAAGGGGCTTCAATGCCGTAAACTTCCCTGAATTGCATGCGAGCCTGTAAGCTATGATAATGTTAATTATATCGTTTACTTGATGTATTTTTCACTACTTATGGATGGATATAGTTTCCATAAAATTTATAATACATACATACGCAAAAATATATGTGAAATGAAGTATAATTTATATTATGTTTACAGCTTCACTCTAAAATATTGATTTTTTTCGTAAAATTGTCTTTGCAGCTTCTTTCTTTAGTGTATATATAATAAACATTTCGCATTTTAATTCGTTTTAATACATTCAATGATTATTTATTAAATTTGAATTAGAATTCAATCGGTTTTTTTTTTAATTCTAAGTACCCACAATAAAACAAATAATTCGTTATGTAAATATATCTATGAAATTTACAACTAAAATGAAGATCGAAATTTATTCCAAAGAAATTATGCGAAATTCTTCGCAGAGAATTGTAGATTTTTTCTCCCTGACAAACGACACTTGACCCAAAAATCTTTCCCAAAAAATGTAAATTGTAAAAAATGTAAATAATTGAGTGCGAGTGCGGAACATTTCAAAAATCAAGTTTTTTTTAACATATAAAAATAAAAATTTGTGTTTTTGATGGCAGTAGTTTTTAAAGCATTGCAAATAAATTAAAAACTATTTGCCATGCTTTCAACTGGTTTTAAGGCAAATTAACCAAAGTATGAAAATACAAATACAACTCTGTTAAAAATATTGAACAAATTGAAAGGAATTACAGCAAAAAATTAAAAAAATCGAAAATAACAAGACACTTCATTAGAGTTTAAAGAAATCAATTGGATTTTTTTTTGCTAAATATATAAAAACTCTTAACAACGCATCAGATAAAGGTAAACACCCGCAAGGCATGAACTGAACGTACTCGTACGTACAAAACAGTAGGTTTCACGTCGAGCACCGTCAATCCGAAGTGCTAACGAAAGTTTATTGGGGCATATATGGGTTAATGTTTGTAGAGCAAATGCAACGCATGTAGCCAATTCACAATACAAGAATGTTGAACTAAATGGGGAATGCAAATTTATCAAGTTGGCAACCTTTAGTTGGTGATATCATATATGGTGTGTAGCCGCAGGCAACCGAAACACTTTTTGCTCCAAAAATAAAGGCAGCGAACACTTTAATACGGAATAAGATGGATCACCTGTTGATGCCGCAAAGTAAATATACAAAAATTAATGCTTTATGCGCGCTCTACATGTGGTGGTGCAATACGCTCTCTGTTGGCCTTTCGAGTTGCGGATGATGTGGTGTGCAGGCAGAGCAAACTGTTCGAAGGAATCACGTCTTATAATGCAACGTTGGTAACAAGCAAATATATGTATGTATATGAACGACTGAAAAATCGTCAACATTATTTAATGAAGTGCTAAACTTGGACATTGAAAATGTAGTTCCTATGTAGTTGCGTTTTCTACATAGGAATTCCGCGACAAAATTTATACGCTACATTATGAAATCAAAACTCAGCAAAAATTATTCTTCTAATTTATCAAAAATAAATGCTGGAAGAAAAAATATTAGCTGTGACATTGATGGCGCTTCAACATCCTTTACAGTATCTTTACAAATACACAATACATAATTGACAATATGTTAAACAAATATCTGTTGTCTATCTGCATCGAACTAGGAATATTAATAATTGGCAAATAGCAGTTTGGGAGAAACATCCTACAATATTTAGGGGGGCATATGATGTCATAGAAAAAATGTTTGACATTTATTGAAAATCGCATCACACCCATCAAAAGTGCATTTATATGAATATACAAGGCTGTTATAGAAAAGAAATCAAATTTTTTTATAATTGTGAATAAACTAAATTATTTGAAATTTCCATATTTGCAAAGCACAATCATTTGATCACAATAAGTGGGCTTTACGTCATACGATACATTGCCAATGCAATAGATTGCATCCTCTACGCTGCCAAGTAAGCGGTTAAGACTGAATGCATCTAACCACCTCAAACATTTGCAACAAGTGCTTGTATGTTATGCACATGCACAATGCTTTTTCTGCTCGCCAGCAACAATGTTGAAAAACAAAAACAAAAACAAAAACAAAAATATAAATGACAAGCATATGTCCTGCACAGACGTAAATACGCATGCCTACTTGAAACAAATCAAGTTCTTGTGAGCAACAAAAAATGCAATATAGTGGCTTTGCAAAAACAACAATTTACAGTACTGGCCAAGTGCTTTGTTTTATTAACAAGTGCACACACGCATATACACAAGTTAACGATTATTGTTAGGTCTTGTCATATGAATTCGTGGTTATATGCAAGAAGACAATGACGGACAGTAAAGAGAAACAGCAATGGATCATTGAACACAATACGATGATATACAAACACATATGTCCACCCAACCTATACAAATAAACAGTTTAACTTTAACTCATATACCCCAAAGCATGTACGGAAAAGTAGCAACTGGAGCAGACAATGCAGAAAAGCAAAGCAAAGCAAAGCAAAGCAAGTAAGCTTAAGTGATATTGAAAGACGCATAATGAAAACGTGCACGTGTTGCTTGCAATAAGTGTGTGTTGCGTTGTGTTGTGTTGTGTTGTGTTGTCTGTTTATGGTGTGTGACCATTTTTGCAAATTATTTCTCACGGCCAATAAGCACAAGCAAAACTAAAATGAACAATACACAACAACAACAACCACTACTACTACACAGCCACGGCAACAAGAAAAAAGCGAATAAGTACAATCAAACGCAAATCCCAACAGCGATTATCAGTTGTAGTTGTGTTTGTGTTTGTTAGCAACAAAATTATTTGTTGCTAAGATTATGTATGTTTCCAATAGAGTTGGAAAAGTGAACATTACAGAAATAATAACAATTTGTATAATGTTTGACCGAAAGTTAATTTGATAAATTATAAGAATGAAACACATTTCTGAGTTCTGTATTCTGGATTCATTCTATTAAAAATCTCTTCCTTTTACCGTTTTTGTTGTTACTTTTTTGGCAATTGTTACTGTTTACTGCACTGTTTTTGTGTTTTTGTGCTTTTTATCATCCTTCATCCTGCATCTGTGCTTCAAGTTGATTAAAGAGTAGCATGAATGAAAATTAAATGCATGAACATGTTTCGAATTTACGTGTTGGAATTTAGCAATACTTTTTGTTGCAGCAGTAAAAGTAGAGATCACGCAACAGTGTTTAGTCAACATTATTGAATGTCCTTAACAACAGAAAAATACTACTCCACACAAACAAAACAAAAGTAGTTTTATGTGTAGTTTTAGTAGTTTTATACATATACATTGTGCAATGCAATAAATTCATATTCACCTATCTGTGAACGGTCCTTTGCTTATAGTCTCGTCCGTTTTATATAATTCTTCAAAGGAGTATTTCTGTATGAAATCTTCTTTCTTTTAATCTTTTCTTCTATGTGTCCAATAAACCAAATTTTTTTTCTTAATTTGATTTGAAATTCATTTATTTATCTTATATTTTTCTTTTTTATTGCAGTTGTCAGCTGGGCTACAAAGGACCACTGTGTAACGAATGTGAATCTTATCCTGGTTGTGTACATGGCACATGTAAGAAACCCTGGGAATGTATTTGCAAAGAAGGTTGGGGTGGTCTGCTTTGCAATCAGGATCTCAATTACTGCACCAACTATCGGCCCTGTCAAAACAATGGCACCTGCTTCAATACTGGTCAAGGCTTATATACTTGCAAATGTCCACCCGGAATTACTGGTTCCGATTGTGAAACCGAAATTACTTCCTGCGACGATGTGAATCCTTGTCAAAATAATGGTACTTGTCACAATGAGTCCAGCGCTCGTGGTTACAGATGCGAATGCAAAAAAGGTTGGTCGGGCAAAATGTGCGACATGCGCGTAATAACCTGCCAGGATAAACCTTGCCTACATGGCACTTGCCGTGATACTAACAAAGGCTATCAGTGTGAATGCCCTAACGGATACAGCGGTTTGTCCTGTGAAATACACGTAGACAATTGTAATCCAAACCCTTGTCTGAATGGCGGCACTTGTTCAATGACCAGCAGCGGATCACATAAATGCCAATGTCAGAGCGGATTTACAGGCAACATGTGTGAGCAAAATATAGATGACTGTCAAGGTAATCCTTGCCAGAATGGTGGCACATGCATTGACTTGGTTAATCAATTCCGCTGTCAATGTGTGGCCGGCTATCTCGGTTCTCTATGCTCCGACAAAGTTGATCTCTGTATTACCAAACCTTGTGCTAATGGCGGTACTTGCACCAATCTAAATAACGACTATCAGTGCACATGCCGTGCTGGTTTTACTGGTAAAGATTGTTCAATAGACATTGATGAGTGCAGCTCATCTCCATGTCGTAATGGCGGCACTTGCGTTAACCGTGTGAACAGTTTTTATTGTGTTTGCGCCAATGGCTATCGAGGCACACAGTGTGAGGAGGAATCCTATTCTTCAGCAACTTATGATGCACGTCAGTATGAGGCAACAACTCAGGCGCGCAGCGATGGTTTAACAAGTGGTCAAGTAGTGCTCATAGCCATACTCTCTGTTACCATGCCTCTGGTGGCGGTTATAGCTGCTTGTGTTATATTCTGCATGAAACGTAAGCGTAAGCGTGACCAAGAGAAAGACGATGCAGAAGCGCGTAAACAAAACGAACAAAATGCTGTGGCCACCATGCAACATAATGGCGGAATGAACATAGGCGTAGGTGGAATTGGTGGTTTATCAGTGAAACGTGGTTCGAATTCCGGACTAACTTTCGATAATTCAAATCCAAACATCATTAAGAATACCTGGGACAAGTCTGTGAACAACATATCTGCTACAGCTGCCGGCGATGATTGCTTATTAAATACTTCATTGTACGGTGCTGCTATGTCAAATTTTGCAGCCGATAATAATGCCAATTCAGAATTTTGTGCTGTCGGACAAATTACGCCTTTACAGCGCGCCAAATCACAAAAACAGCTTAACACCGATCCAACATTGATGCATCGTGCTTCGCAACTACTGAACGGTGCTACATCCAGTACCGGTGTATCAATGCAAGGAGTATCTGGCGCTGGCGGTGCTGCTAACTCAACCAAAGACTATACCGAAGGTAAACGTATCTCGGTGCTAGGCGAAAGCGCATATTGTAGTCAGCGGTGGCCATCTTTGGCTGCAGCTGGCGTCGCTGGCGGCTGTGCTACACAAATATTAGCCAGTGCAGCAGCGACGGGGAATACGTCAACAGGCTCAGCAGCTGTGCAACATCAGCAACAACGCTCGGTAGTCTGCGGTACGCCGCATATATAAACGATGACTTAGTATGAATTGAGTATGTTCTTTGCGTAAGATACTGATTTGGTGTGTGTTAGTGTGTCAGTGTGCATGCGTTAGTTTGTTTAGCGGGAAGGGTAGGGGGACATTAAGTATAAAATAGTTAAACAAGAGCTGTTATATATACTATGATAAATACAATAACAATTTTAACTAATTTCCTCATTTCTATATAAACATATATTTTTAATTTTATTAAAATAATAAATACTTCTTAATTGTAAAGTAACGGTACGATTCCACTGCACAGTTTTGCTACTTGACTTGAGTTTAATAAAACTCTAAAAAGTGATTGAACTATTAAATTGAGGTGTACATCGACTCGGTTTGCACTCAGTTTTCTGCGCAATGCAAGTGTGGCGTTAAAATAAACCAATGTAGAATATTTTTTTTTTAATTTCTAAGGACTGACGCAAATGTAAAGTTTCCGAAACTTATGCACTTAAAACGCATAGTGAATAGATGCACAACATCAAGCATGAGTGTCATGCAAATGAATGGATATATGAGATCATACAGTGTATCTTGCATGTGTGACATTCATGCATTTTCTTGTGTACTCTTTTTGACAATAAAAGTGGACAAATTAAATATTTTGCTTTCACTAAATAATTAACTTATTCACTTTTACAATAAATTCTCTCTTGACTTTTTCTAAGTGTACTCAGTATTTGCTGATGAATCTTGAAGTACTAACGAATCTAACGAAAAGAGTTTGACAAAGCAATAAAGTTTACACTTAGACAAACAATATCTACCAACTACTGCAAAATCTTTAACTATATTGTATTAAATTCAAACTGACGATTCTTTAATAAATTGTTATAAGTATTTTTTTTATAATGTATTACAATGCGAACAAACTTTACCTAAATTAACAATAAAAAAGACACTGTAAATAATGGAAAAATTATGAAATTCTTAACTGAAAAAAGCGGCCAGTTTCAGTAAAACTACAAAAAAAAATTTATTACAAAAATAACTTCGCTGTGTAAAAATTTCTTTTCAGTGCAGCCTTTTCTTTTTTATGCAAAGAAAAGGCTGAGCCAAACAAAAAATAATTATTTATAAGAATAAACAAAAAAATGTAAATAATTTTATTTAGATACTAAATGTTAAATTTTAATTAAATATATTTTTATTGACGACTTGTTTGCTCTCCTATTTTAACTTAATTAATTTAATAAAAAAAATTAGTTTAATTTAAACAAACAAACCACAAAGAAGACAATTTATTACAAAATAAATAGTGATCAAATGTATTTTATATAAGCTATTACAGTATATTTAAGCATTTTAGTTTAATTTTCCAAATTTTTAACATTAATTTTGTAACAAAAAAAACAAAAACAAATAAAAAAATTGAAAAATGTATTAAAAAAATCTAAAATTTATGCAAAAGTCAACTTAATTGTGTTAATTAATAGTTTGCATAAAATGAAATTATAATTATAATTTTAGAATTTACTTCTCATTAGAAATCAAATATTGTAATTGAATTTATTATGTTTAAGTAAAACTATGGAATGCCGACAAATTCTTAATTATTGAAAGGAAAGAAAAAACAAAAAGAAAACATATTGAATACTACGTAAAACTGAAGTAATTTATTAAAAATTTAATAAGAAAAAAGTAAGCAAAATATGTGTTTTAATTAAAAAAATTTTTTTTGCAAAAAAATTGATCTCAAATCAGCTTAATTTCTGCAAGTGCACAATAATCAAGGGAAGTTTGTTCGCTTTAAGATGTAATAAAGAAAAAAGCATTAATAGAATAATAAAAGACTTGTTTGCTTTTTTTAATAAACTTTTAAACAAACAATCATATATATATACATGTATACATGTATAGTTGAATATTGTCTAGAAGAGAAGAAGCAAACAAAACTTTACAAGAATATTCTTAAAAAGCGCAAAAATGGTTCCTCGTTAGTTGTAAAATAAAGTTGTATTAATTTTTTAATTATTTTCATTCAGCGAAATTAAATTAATTAAATAATATATATAATTAAATAAAAAAGGAAAATCAAGAATGTATTAAATTATTTAACACGAAATTGTACATAAAATATAAAATAGCCTGTTGTTATTATTTAATCGAATATATAGACATGTATAAATATCTTATATCTCATTAAATTTATTTTCTTACAAACTTTTGTATTTATAACAATTTTATTTATATCATTTATAGTACTTAAACATGTAATATATATAAAAACTGAATGCATATTGTGTAGTTAGATTACTGTATATGTCAACATTATACACAATGGATATGATTATATATTTATAAATTGTATATGTATAAATGTACTTAAAGTAATAGTCTTTTAAATTTTATGAAGTGAATTAGAAATAAAGAAATCTTTAAAAAAACATGAATTAAAACAACAAAATACTTGAAAAAATATTAAAAAATGAACAAAATAAAAATTTTTATGAATAAAAAAAATGTTTAGTCTTTTATTTGAAGAAAAATAATTTATTTTTATAATATTTACTGCAAACATTTGTAGTAAATTAACTTTGGGATTTTATTGATTTACAATAATTTAATTAGAGCAAATTTGCAAATAGGAAAAAAGAAAGAATTTTAAAACAGATAATAACAGTCAGATAATTCGTTTACCATCAATAAGGTCACCTCTTCTACCATATATATGATATACTTTATTTAAAACGTCTTCAATTATCGTCTAACAAAACGTCTCTTATTTAACATCACTCGGTTTATAGGAACATCACTCGGTTTATAGGAACATCACTCGCAGATATTATTGTGTACGCATATTTCGTACTTCAAAAGAGATGCTTTAACATAATTGATGCATGGACCAAATACTTCAAGGTTATTTGAATTGAAGAAATTACACCCAAGCAACAAAAGGTTAGACTCGAAAGAGCAAAGGATTTGTTCTCAAAGGAGAATATTGTGTTCTGTGATGAGAAAACTTTCCACATTGAACAGTTCATAAACTCTCAAAATGATCGCGTTTACTTTACTGAACACACTATAAAAATTTTTGAACTACCAATGACCACTCGTAGTAATTTTCCATCTCAAATAATAGTACGGGTAGCAGTGACCGCCGATGGACGATCTCTAATTGTTTTCATCGAGCATGGTGTCAAATGATGTCAATGCGGTTTATTATCGAGAAAATGTTTTGAAAGTTGCTTTAGAGCCGTGGGCACGCAAACATTTCGGTCGTATACCGGGCTCGGTCGCATAAAACTCGTGTGAACCAAAAATGTTTAAAAAATCATGTTCCACATTTCATTTTGTCGCCACTATGGCTATCGAATTCGCCAGATGCAAATGTGATGGACTATTCCATATGGGCCATTTTGGAGAACAAAGTGAGGACTAAAACATATGCCAGTATTGATGCGCTGAAGAAAGCTATTTAAAGCTATGTTCAGGAATAGACCACAATACAGGAAGATCACATTCGTGAGCATGCAACTCATTTTTAATCCCTTTGAAGACCATGGTCAAGCCAAAAAGTCGCCACATAGATCTAGAGTGAATGAATTCTGACATTTTGAATATTTCCACAATATAGGCAATACTTTAATCGCCTAACCCTTTAAAAACAGCATATTTACAGCACGCACTATCAAAACGGACTGTTCTATCAATCTTTGTTAAATGCAGTCGTATCCATACTTCACTAGTGGCCTAAATATAATATGAATCGATATAAGTAAACTTAGAGTCTTAGTCATGCTAAAGTTATTACACGTGGTAAAACTAAAGCAGCGTTTCGTTGGGATATATGGGCCCAGAAGGCTTTAAGACTCAGTAGAATATATGGACTTTTAATCTAATCAAATTCTTGCAATTTCGATATTTTTATATTTAATGTGAAATATATCAAACAATATTACAACAATATTTTGAAAGTCAGGCATGATTAAGTTCATTATGAAGTTCTTCAATTTTAATTTACTTTTTTGGTTTTGTTTTTCCTACCACCCACCTTTGCAAACACAGTCGTAAAGTTTAAACACCTATTACTGCACCGCATTCGTTCCACTTAAGAATAGAAGAAGAGACTCACACTATAAAAAGACATATGAATGAGTCGAAAACATTTTTAATAAAAATTTTCGCGCTTAAAGCGTTCAATGCAAAAGATCTACAAGGAACTCTCGTGAACTCTACTCTGGCATTCAACTTCCGAGTATTGCCAACATTCTTCTTTTATGGCTCAAAGATAATACTTTTTAAAAATGTATTTATGATTTCAGTTGGAAATTGAGAAAGCATTTTTTCTTAATTACATCTCATTAAAATATAATCATAACTCTTGACCAATCTGCCAAAAATATACAGGTATGTGGTAAGGAATATTTGCATTTTGTTATCCCAAACTGCATATGATGTTGTCACTGAAAGTTTAAGTATAAGCAAACTTAAGTTATTTGTAAAGTATTTAAAGAAAAATAAAATGAAATTAACTAAATTATAAATGAAGAAATATTCAGTCGCAAATTTTCTTCTGCTTTTTGTAACACTGACACTCCACATCCATACGCCAACTACAAATCTCATTTCGATAAAGTGGCATTTCTATTTGCAAGTCCATGTGCAACTTGCAATGCATTCCATCGGCACAGTCGATGCAAGTGATACACTGCATCTGCATTTACATTTGCATTTGCATCTGCATTTGCAGATATTGTATATCTAAATTGGTATCTATGTTTGTAGCTGAAACTAAACACTTACATATGTAAGTACATTTTCATATCTAAGCACATTTTCGCGGATATAAATTCCGTTGTGAAGTTCTCACAATCATAATAAAATATATTTATTTCTCATAAGTAATGAAGATGCAGATGTGGTATTCACCGCGCATAAACACACTAGCCAAAGATGATTCCTAACTGCTAGAATTAGCGCTTGAGAGCTCGCAGATCGCCGATTGGTGCAGCGCTTGGTCTGCGACTCGTCATAAACTTGTAGAAATGATAACTAAATGCACTTTGTGGTTATTGCACTTTGTTGTTATTGTCATTATTGTAGTTGTTGTAGGTTGTTTGGTTTTAACACCTAATTAACAATTATTAAAAGTCACTACGGCGCAACGGTGCATTTGATGCATTCCAAAGTCAACTTTTTCAAATCACAAAAGCAAAAAAAAAACAAAAACAAATCGAACAAAAAACGTTACGAAAACAACCAACGAAATTGAAAAAATTTGAGAAGTACGTACGCAGGTAATGCCACAAAATCCATACGTTATTTGGTACTGAAATGCTTTGGCCAGTAATGCATCTGCATCTAAAAGATAGTAAAGACTCATTTTACTCCGCGGCTCTAAGTACACTTAGTCGAACTGCGTGTCCCACAGCATGTGGCTGCCGCTCAGGCATCGATTTCAGTTTAATTATGTAAATAGCGCGTGAGCTTCATGCACTGACTCGGTGGGAAATGCATTCAATTTCAGTAGCGGATTTATCAAAGGTTTCCACAGGAATTCACCTAACTATTTTAATAAATAATAACCTAGTAACGTAGCAAGCAAAAAACTATCGTTTTATGCTAGGTTCAACCTGGGATTAAAAGATTAGTTGGCAGTACAATTTTTTACGTAAGCATTCTCTCTCTTCAATCCCCATTACTTTTGCATTTAAACATTCAGCTCTAAAGAAGTTAACGTTTATCAAGAAACTAAATCCGATCGCATTCTACCTTAAAGACTAGTATCCTTACCTTAATTTCCGGAACAAGGCATACAAGTTATAGAAGCAGACTGAAGCTTAGATAGAAGGAAAACGTGTACGAGGAC